AACCCAAAAACAAACCAACAAAAAAAGCCACAATACAAACAATGGCAAAAATAATTTTCCTCTAACAGATGCTTTGATCCTGAAATGACACCTGGTCTGGGGAGCTGCTTGTGCAGTTTTTGAGATAATTTTGAACTAATTGCTCCAACCCACTGCTCCATAACCTCAATAGCCACATCAAGCTAAATCTTCTGTGGTATCCACCTTTGAAAAGGGATCTTCAAGGGGTTTCTTGCTGCAAAGCCAGTAAAATTCGTCCCTTTATTGTAGGATGGGAAACCTGTAGGGGAACAGGACAACAAGCAAATACCAGCCAGCTGGGGATGAGTGGTCTAGACCATTTCAGTGCCAGGGCTGTTCTCCTCATGTGCTTGTGCAGCAGTAAAAGATTTATTCTCTCTTATGTTCCTAAAAGGACGGTGCTTTAAATGTTGGGAAGCAATAATCTGGTTGGTGACTTTGTATTGTCCAGACTTTCTCACGACTCAGAAATTGTTCTTCATCCTCTCTAGGAGAGTGCCAGTGTGTTTTGTGCTGCCCATGTTGGCTGGGGATGGCAGGGAGGTGACCAAGGACCAGAGAAGGAGGACAGCAGCCAGTGCTGGGAGTTTGGGGAAGGTGCTGAAAGTTGAAGGTTATTGTCCCGCTCTTCCAAACCTCCTCTGGCTCAGATGCAGCTGAAGGCTGCGGCAGTCCCAGACCCCAATTTCACGTCTCTCCAGTGTATATTTAAACACTTAGCCAGTTTGGTAGTTTTTGGACGAATTCTCCCAGTTGCCGAATGCAACAGGGCTGAATCAGGAATCCGCTGCAGCAGCCCCTGTGTGAGGAGGGAGAGGGGCAGAACCCCTCACCAGGGGTGTGTGGAGGAGGCAGGGGCTGCCCGATGGCTCAGCCTTCACTTTTGAGGGCTTGCTTCCCTCGTCGGTGGATCGGGCTGATAAACTGCAGCTCTGGGAGACCCAGCGCCGGCACGGAGCCGTCTGTGCGCTTACCTGGGGCCGGGCACCGGGGCCGCTGTCCCCGCGGGGAGCGGGGCCGGGCGCGGGGGTCACCGCGGGGGCGCAGGAAGGGCCGGGGGTGGCCGGGGAGCCGCGCCGTCTCGGCCGCACAAAGCCGCCTTTTCATCGCGGCCTCCTGCCCCCGCCGGGCCCGTAATTGTCTTTGACAAAACTTCATTAGCGAGCGCGGCGGAGGCGGCGGCGGCCCCGCGGTCGCGCTGGCTTTGAGCGGGCGCAGTGGAGTGTGCGCGGCCCCGCCGCTCCCGCCCGGGGCCATTAGCCCGGCGACTTTGTTTTAGAAACTTCCCACCCCAGCGGGGGACGCGTCAACGAGCCGCCCCCGGGCCGCTAATTGGGGGGCGATGCGGGGCTGCGGCAGCCGGTGCCAGCGCGTCCCCGAGGGCTGCGGAAAGGGGGACACCCGGCCCTTCAGAGCCAACTGGGATGCCGGGAGGGGGTGGCGGGTGTGTGCGAGAGTTGCGCTGCGCTACGGCGGTCCCCCGGCTCCGCGGGGTTACACCTTCCTCAGGGCACCCCGCACCGGCCCCATCTCCCCGAGCTGCGGGCTCCGAGTGCCCGCCTGGCAGAGCCCGACCGCCCCCGCTCCGCTGGACAACCCGAGTTCACTTCTCAGAGAAGTGGCATTAAAAAGCCCATCTCGTAGCAAAGCTCAGACAAGACGGTTTAAATACGTTTATTATGGCATTGGAGGCGCTGAATCTGTTCGTGCGAGCACGTTATTTTACTTTTGTGCCTGGGCGCACGCAGTCTCCGTTCCTGGTATTAGTTCTCCATCAATCCCCGCTCTGGTTTTTAATCAAAACAGTATTCGGAATATGATTCCCGGAGATTATATTTTGAGAGATTTGCGATACATATCTTGCCGGAGTGACAGATTGCAGGGGAGTCCTGGGCGGACGGGATAATCTGCATCTCGCTCACTTGACCTTTAACAAAAGGGGAGTAAAAGTAACAAATAAAAAATAAAAGTCTTAAGACTCCTGCAGGTTACATCCATGCTTACCTAACAGAGAGCCCCGAGGCCTGCACCCCCCTAATTAACTGGGGGTTCGCGGCTCTTTGGCGGAGGGGGAATCTAGGGCCGGGGGCAGAGCCGGCAGCTCAGGGGGGCTCCTGGCTGCCCCTGGGCCGTGGGGCCGTGCAGGTTTCGTCTTCCGTGAGCAGCTCAGGCGGGGGATGTGACGCGGAGCTGCCTCCCCGGGGAACCCCTTCCAAAGCCACCGGGAAACGGGACCGGAGGAAGCCGGGTCGGTCCCTGCAGGACGGGCCAAGGCGGCTGGGACACAGCTGGGAGGGAGGCCCGGCCTGGCTCTGTCGTGCGGACACGCCTGGGAAACCTGCACGTGTTCCCAAGGCAGATAATACCTGTCCTCTCCGGTGGGAAAGGCGAGGCGGAAAAGTCGCCTTGCAAGAACCCTTCGAAAGGGCCTAATACTCTTTATTACAAGCCCTAATCCTTCAAATCCGACTTGAAATAATGTTTATCTTTTCGCAGCTTAATTTCCCCTTCTCTAAGCTTCGGGTCACTGAAATAGACTGCTGCTGCTGCGCTGCTCCTTGTCCAGGGCTGCTCCGGAGTGCGGGAAAGCCCCGTGGCCGAGCATCTGCTGCGGGACTCCCGACGGGCCCAGCCCCGCTCCCGGCCCCGCCATCACCTGCTGCTCTCGTGTGCACTGACCTCCCCCTCCCTTCCCCCCCGCATCCTCCAAAGCCCGACAAAGTTTGCTTTCTTTCACAGTGCCCCCGCAACCGGGACTGCTCCGCTCCCGGGAAGGGCCGCGGCTGTTATCGGGGCCGAAGCCGGGGCAGCCCCTTCACATCTCCCGGCGTTGACCTGCAGCTCCTCCTTTCCCCTACGAATTGTTTCTCCGGTCGCAAACCCAGAGGGCTCCCAGTTATGCAGCCCCACTCGTCTTGAGTAGCCTTTAGTAAACATATAGAAGTCTACTCGATATTCAAGATTGATTTCCCTGATTTATTAAGGCAGAATTCATTGGACTCTATTGACCACAAATGACTTAATGTAAATGCTGACCCCGGTGAACTTGGAAATAGCAGGTATCGGGTTGATCTATAGATGACCTCTTAATTACCACAGTTATTAATTTAAATTATTGCCACTGCTTCTAGAGACAGGAACAAAGAAACATTCTTTCCTCATCCCTGCTTGGTTTATTAGTCTGAACACAAAGTGTTTGATGACACTTTTAATTAAACAGAAATAATGCAGAGATACGGTTTCCCTTTCTCGTCTGTCCTGTAAAGTGCAGCACTGCTCTTTTGACTGACTGACGGCGATGACCCACTAACAACGTCCTACTTCGCCGCCCGGTCGCCACCCGCTGCCCGGGGGTGCCCCGGCCGTGCCCCAGGCCGGGTGGCGGGTGCCCGGGGCCGCTCATCCCGGGCTGTGCCGGCTCCTGGCTGGAGAGCTCCGAGCTCACTGACGGCTTCGTGGCGTTCAGCTCATCCGTGTTAATTAGAGACTCTGAAAAATACTTTCAGTGGTATCTATGTACAGAGACGGGAAAGTAACAGTCCGGCGTAACCTGCGCCGCTTCTCCTCCTTCTCCTCCCCGGGATGGCGCGGAGCAGCCGCAAACTGGTGCCCCTTGGCAGAGCAGGGCGCTGAGCAGCGAGCGCAGGTTTGGGAGCAAAAGGAGAAACGAACCACGACGTGGGGGGGAAAGAGAAAAGATTAGGGTGGGGGGTTTTCTTCCTTTTTGCAAAGGCGTCAATGGGCAATACTGAACACATGGCAGGCGAGCGGCGGGGAGGCGCCGGTCCTGCGGCCGCTCCGCCCGCCGTGCCGCTCGGCCCCATGTGCGCAGCACGTTGTGTCGCGGCGGCCCTTCCCCGGCGAGGGCAGGGCAGGCGGAGCCGCGAGGCCATCCCGGCCCGGGGAGAGCTTTTCCTTCGTTGCGTCAAGCCGAGTGCTTCGTTACAGCCGGAGCCCCGTCGCCAGCGCCCAGGATGGGGCGGGCGGCCCTGCGGGACGGAGAAGCGGCGATAAGCCGAGGCTGAGTGGCCGCGGGTTGCTGCCCCGCCCGGACGGGAGCTCCGGGAGCGGGGCAAAGCGGCGGCCGTGGCGCAGCCCTCGCAGGCCGGAGCCGCTCCGGTGTCCCAGGGCCAGGCGGGCTGGCGTGCGCTTCGTGCGAGGTGGAGCCCCGGCAGCCGGCCCGTCACCTACCTCACCTCCGCAGCACGGGCCGGAACGCCGTCCGCAGCCTGTCCAGGCAGGTCCCACCCAGCTCGGTGCCTCCCGGGCCGCCCTTGGCGCCCCGCCCGAAGCCTGCACAGACACAAGCGGCTCGCGGTGGGCACGGCCCGGTCCCGCCGCCCTCCCCTTGCCCGCTCGCCTCGAGCGGGGAAGCCTCGGCGTCTGCACCTGACACCTGGGCACGGCCGCACACAGGGGGTGTCACTGCGCGGGCGGACTCACGCCGCGCCCTGTGTCCCGGCCCGGCCCGCGGTCCCGCCCGTCCCCGCGGCCCCGCCGCCGCGGGTACCTTCGCCCGCCGCCGCGAACTGGCACGGCTCCCCCAGGCCGCGGTGGGACGCGCAGCTTCGCGGGAGCGGCTGCAGGTTGAACGCGGAGCTCCGGAAGGCCTTGGCGGGCAGGGGTGGCTCCCCCGCCGCGCCGCCGCCTCCCTCCGCGCCGCGGCCCTCGGGGCTGCCCCTGCGCGCCGCGCTGGCCCCGGCGGTGCGCGCCAGCGACCAGATGCGCGGCTTCTCCGCGGGCGCGTAGGGCGGCGGCGGGCCGGCCGAGGAGGCGGGGGCGAAGTCCGCGGCGGGGGCCTTGGCACAAGGAAAGGCGTGAAAGGGGCCGGGCAGGCTGCAGTCGCTCCTCGGAGCCTCGGGCAGCGCCGCGCCCAGGCTGGGGGCTTCCTGCAGGGAGCTGGTCCGGCCCTTCTCCGGCTTCCCCGCCTCCTCCTCCTCCTCCTCTTCCTCCTCCTCCAGGTCGCTGAACCGCAGGTCCTTGTCCTCCTTGTAGCTCTTCTGCTCTGCTTGGACACACACGGGGAAGAAAGGGGTCGCAGGGCGTTAGTGCGGGTGCGGGGAAGTTGGGGTGTCACTTCGAGCCTACTTGCAGGCGCCCCTCTGCCTCTCCCGCCTACCTCTGCCTTCACCCTCCGCACTGTATTCATCCTCTTCCCTCGGAGTTTCTTCTTTCCTCTCTTCCCCCGCTTTGTTCTTGGGAGACCAGGTCATTTTGTTTTCTTTCTTCAGCCTCCGTCTGGCGTTAGCAAACCAAGTGGACACTTGCGTCAGGGTCATTTTAGTGATGATAGCCAGCATGATTTTCTCTCCTTTGGTGGGGTAGGGGTTTTTGCGGTGCTCATACAGCCAGGTCTTGAGAGTGCTCGTCGTCTCTCGCGTTGCATTTTTGCGTCTGGCTGAACCACCGAAATCCACCGTCCCGTACCTGTTGGGAGATGATTAGGGAGGGGGGGCCGGCGGGAGTCCGGCAAGAACCCCCCCGGCCCGGCCCAGGCGCTCCGCAGGCCGGTGTGGCCCCTGCCCATCTGCCTTCCTGCCCCTGCCCTCCTGACATCGCCGCCCAACTTTGGTTTCCGCTGTCTGCTACTCCCGGGCGCCTCGTTTCTTTTGTACAACCTTTGTCAGGTCGGAGCCCCCCCGTCCCCCTCGTTTGATGTCGGCCGCCGCCTCGCAGGGGGATGCTAATGCTGCCGGGCGCTGATCAAAGGGGTTTTACCTGTCGTACTGGTACTGCCCCAAGGAATGATCGTAGGAGTAGTAGGTAGCGGGCTGCGCGATCCCCGAGTGCAACGTGCCGGCGCCGTCTTTGATTTCATACTGGGGGTTCTGCAAGGGAAGCGGCAGCGTTTGGCGTCGAGCAGGACGGGAACCCCGCCGCGCCCCGCAGCCCCGGATCCCCGCGGCAGCCGAGTCCCTTCGCGTCCCCCACCCCCGACGGGCCGGCTCCGCTCAAGCTCCCACGTCCCTCGGCGGTCCCGCGCCCCGACCCCGACTGCGAAACACGAAGTTTGTCCCGCCTGTTGCACCCCCTCCCCTCCGGAGCGCTGCCGGGCGGGCGGGCACTCACCAGCGCGGTGTAGAGCGCGGCGGGCTCGGCGCCGTAGGGCAAGTAGTTGCCGTAGCCCTGGCCGGCGGCGTACGGGGCGCTGTACATGCCCAGCGCGGCATTGAGCTCGGCGCGGCCGGGCGCCAGCAGCCGGCTCTCGTACGGGGCGCAGCACAGGGAGGCGGCGGCCGGCGCCGAGGAGGCATCCGGCCCGGAGCGGGGGGCGGCCTCGCAGCAGGTCGTGCTGGGGCTGGCGGGCACGAAGAACTGCGGAGAGGAGAGAGCGGGACGGCGCCGAGTGACTGTCGAGGCAGCCCCATCGGGGGGAATTTAGGAGCGTGTGCGCGCCTGTGTGTGTGCGGAGGGGGGGGGCGGCGATGAGGAGGGGGATAGGAAACGCGGGCTGAAGCAACTAATTATAGAAACCGGGAAATAAACCGGATGGGAAGCAGGAGCTCTTGTGAAGGGGGCACGATTAATCAAGCAGGCAAAACTTTAAGGAAATAATTGCTCTCGAAAAAGGTATAAGATCCGTAAGGCTCCATCCTTCCCGCCCCCGCTCGGTCCATCTGCATTGATTTAAAGGCAAAAAGTTGCGATTACAGTTAATTTGACAATAGACACAGCAGTAAATATGTCAGCCAACGCAATCGAAGGCATTTGATTTCAATAACTTCAAGGGGACAGCTAACTTCCCAAGCGAGGGAAGCACATCTTGCAGTGATTACCGTGTATAAATAATTCTACCCAAATAAATCGTGACTGGAAGTACGATATAGCTACGACTTAGTTAATACAGGGTACCTTGGTGTGAGTGGGGGATGTCCTTCGTAAATCGCATGGGGGGGAAAAAAAAAACCTCTCGACAGATCCTAATAAAACACAGGCAAAGGACCGACCCGTGGAGGAAGGAAGGAGGAAGCGGCACAGCTCGGTTCCGCAGAAACGCGAGTGAAAGCCCGAGCCTGCCGAGCGCCGGTTCCCGCTGCCCGCACGCCCTCCGCGGTGCCCGGTGCGGCGGGGGCTGCGCCCGCCTCAGCGCGGCCGCTCCGCGGGCTCGGAAAGCGGTCGTAGCTGGGATTTATGTTTTTATTTGTTTGTTGCACTTAAAACTGAACGGTGAAGGGTGGGGAGGAGGGGGAATTACCGGTTTCCTACACGCCTTTGCTGTGCACACTGCGAGTTATTTGTTTAAGCCTAACACAACACAAACGAGACATAAACACACACGCACATTTTTTAAAAAAAGGCTCCAGATGTGCCCTTTTAAAAAAATATTCTAAGTAAGGGAAAGGGAAGAAAAAAAAGGAGGGGGGACAAGACATCTGGACAGCAGCAGCAGAATCTAAACAAAAGTGAGTGCTGCTCACTCGCCTTACCTGTGAAGTGGTGCTGTAGGGGTATCCGAACTGAGAGAAGGACATAGTTGCTCCTTATTTTTGGACCATAGGCAATATTTTCCCCCCAAGATCGATTGTAACTAAACCCTGCTTCAAGATGCACCTTCTCACACACACATTTCCACGTATGGCTTTTTTTTTTTTTTTTTTCTCAATTATAGATGATTGCACTTAAGAAAAGCAGCCAGACATCTGAGGCGGGGGGGGGGGGAGGTTGGTGCCTGGATTAAAAAAATAGGCTACCCCCCACTTCCCATCGCTCTTAATAAATATGTTTGTATAGAGGGAGTTTAAAAAGCCACCCCACATGTATAGAGAGTTTAAGTGCAAAGGGGCTTTTTCAAAGAGGGGGGGAAAATCACGTAGGGCTTGCAAGATACGGAGCTTGCTTGTATTATTTTCTGCTCTATAGGTCTTTAGCGTTCATCGGTGGGCGAGGAGCGGGGTGACGTCACGGCCCTGCCGGCAGCAGCAGCGGCGGCGGGCAGGAGCAGGCAGCGCCCCGCGCCCGCTCCCAGCACTTGTTTCATGTTGGCTTCATGTTGTGCTGTGATGCACGTCAAAGGCGGGACTGGGGGTGCCTTGCGGTTGGTCTCTTTTCCCTTTATTTTTAAACACGATCAAAATTTGTCTTAGGGGAATAAATATCAAGTGGGGACATCGCGGCACCCGCCAGCCCCGGCGTGCCCCCTGCCACGGGCCCGCCGCGGGGAGGACGAGCGCCGGGCAGGAGCTGCGGTGGCAGTGGCGGTGCCGGCGCACCCGGGAAGCAGCTCTCGAGGCGGTCCCGGCCGACGCAGCCCCCCGGCCCTTCTCGCTGACCTTGCCCCTATCCCCAGGGCCGGGCGCTCCTGTACAGCTCGGCCCCGGTTCTGCACCGGAGCCTGTGGGCCGTGCTCCCCGCCTCGGCGTCGCTGCCCGTCGCGGCGGCCCGGAGCCGCGGGAGCGGGGTCAGATCTCGCCCCGCACAGCGTGCGCTGCCTGCCTGGGCAGTGCAGGGCCGGGGCCGGACAGAACACGGGCCGCAGAGCAGCTCGAAGCCCATTCTCTAAGGAGTGCTGAGCCCCTTGTTCCCCCTTAGCCCCGTGATGGTCCCTCCGGGAGCGGGGGCACCGGGGCCGTGGCAGGTCAGCAGGGCGGTGATGTATGGATGGCTGCCTGCAGCCCGGCCGGCCCGCTATCGCCGCGGCGTAATTGCCTCAATTAACAAATGGAAATGCCCTTGTTTAACCAGCGACTTACATATTGCGAATTTGCCTTTGAGGCGAGATCACCGAGAGGTAAACCGGGATTTTCCCCCCTCCCGAGCCTGGAGCTACCGCGGCGCTCCCGGGTCGGACAGGGCGCGATGTCCTGCCAGTGGCAATTCATAAGGGAAAAGAAAACCAAATAAAAACGCGGCCGGGGGCGGCTCGGCGGCGCTTGTCCCGAACACACGGGGCCCGTGTCCCGCGGAGGCGCTGGGCAGCCCTGGAGCCGTGCCCGTGCCCGCCCCGCCGGAGCCGCTCCGCTCCGCCGCCGCTGCGCTCCCCGACGGGTGGCGCTGCCGATCCGCGAGCGATGCGCGCCGGCCCGGCCCGGCCCGGCCCGGGGGCCGCTCCCCTGCGCACCCCAAGCCGGGCGGCCCCTGCCCTGCCCTGCCCTGCCCGTGCGGGCGGCGCTCCGCCGGCAGCCAGCGGGCACAGCCCGGGCGGAGCTGCGCGCTCCCGGGGCGGCTCCGCGGTCAACACGGGCACGGAGCGGGCTGCCCGCGCCGTCGGGGCCGCAGCGAGCCCGGCCGGTGCCTGCTGGGCCGGAGCCACACGAGGGGAACGGGGAGCCCAGACCGCGTCCGCCCCGCCGGGGTGAGCGGAGGGGCCCGGAGCTCAGGGCCGGCTGTCATAGCCCTGTGTCCGCCCATAGCCTGGCGAGACGAGCGCCGTAAACCTGAGCCGTGTCAATTGTCGTTAACAGGGGCAATAACTTAAAATTCATTAAAGAACACCTTTGGGTAACATTACTGCTAATTATTTAATTGCAAGAATCCCTAGGGGAAAATTATGCTAATTATAAAGTAATAAAACCACTTGTTCTAAAGCACTTAATTCAGCAAAATTTAGTCTTTTCACCAGAACACTTCGTATGTTATTTGATGCAGGAAACAACATCAGTAGCTGTGTGCTCATCCTGCCCGCGGCTCAGAGCCCAAAGGAGCTGTCGCTGGCACTGCGTTTGTGCTGGCAGGTTGCATGCAGGGCTCTTGTCCTCCTTGCCGAAGTGACGAGCGCAGCGGCCACCAAAACAGGGGCAGAATTCACTGTGCAAAAAAGCATTTTTATAACAGGCATCACGCAGAGCAACACAAACATTGCGTTTCCCAATCTTTATCATGCACAATCAACGTGAAAGCAATTCTGTTACCTGTCATGTACGTTGTAGCTGAGCTAAGTTTTGGGAGGTGGCCTTTCCCAACCCAGTTAAAGCACTCTGCCCTACGGAGAGGTTTCAGCAGCGTACTTTTTTCTAGACATGCTCAAGAGCCATCCAGATGACCCCTTTAATTGCCCTTACAACCTGAGAGAGTGAATGGCATTCCTATTAACAAACACAAGTTCTGCTGTGCTCCCCAGCTCTTTAGGAGGACACAAACTGTCTCTTTGTGTTCTGAGCACTGCCACCATTCACTCTGCCTGTCCATCACTGAGCAACTGTACTCTGCATGTCAAAGCTGCCAAAATATCTTTCTGTGATTTGTAAATATCGGCATAAACCTTCTGTTAACAAGTTCTTGAACCCGGCTTGGCGGAGGGTAGCAATTTGCCGTTTTTCTCATTGCAGGAAATCAGCTTCAACAGCCCGATTTCCATTCTGCACATACACCATGTCTCGGAGAAGCGCAACTGATGCTGTACATGGTCACTGCAGATCTTTCTTTCTCTGAATCTGTGTCATCTCTCTCCCTGCATACAAGCATATCATCCCACCCACCCCCACAACGTGCACTCCCTTCGTCCTAGCGAGGAGTGTGTGACTACAAACACGAGCAAAAGCAGAAAATGATCTCTCTTGATTCACAAACTTTTGTTCTTGAAAGAGAGGACCGTGAGGCTTAACTGTAAACATTTCTGCAAGGAGTTCTTCTTGAAGCGAGGCAGGAGTTCAAATGAAGCCAACAATGCGATTTTTGATGCTTTTAAAATCAGCATCATTTGGTTTAGCTCTGATATTGCTTTGCTCGGGAGGTAATTGCAAGGGGTGAAAGTAACAGTATGTGCTTCCTACCGATGCAAATGCAGCTGCTGATAACTGCAAATGAAATAATAGGTTAATTGAAATAAGCAGGGGAAGAAGAAAGCAGCTTCAAAAACATGTAGCAGAAATGTGGCTGAGAAGAAAGTGTCTTTATATTTTAGAATACAGGGGATTTTTTTGGCTGTTGCTTTTTTGTACTGAGAAAATGAAAATTCTTCAAGTCCATGCATGAATAAACAAGTACAGCTGGGCAGCCTAATATATAATTCATACTGATCAGTCACTGCAGATTTAACTGAATAAAGCCAAAATGAACACTAATTGTTTTGACAAACTAAAATAGTGTATATGATGGTTTATTGTGAAGCTTGCTGGTACTGTCCTTATCTCAGTGGCTATTTTCAGGACTGATTTCTGCATGAGAGGCAGGAACATATTAGGACAATATAAAGATTAATATCTTGATGAAGATAAAACCTTTTACTTGCTTAACATACAGTCAGAAAATGGAAAGAACTGTCTTCAGGAGAGAGGGGAGAACTGACACAGTGAAGTTTGGGACAAGAGCTGATTTAGGGGGTGAGGTATTGCTGAGGTAATGGATGGTACCTTGTTGGCTGAAAGCTAAGCCTGAAAGGAGCATTTTGGTTTTGTCACATTTGAAATACATTGCGAATAAATTTGCCTTTGTATCCTTGTCTTCTGAAAGGGGACATCCAAAAAGTTGTCAGTGAATTTCTGGAGTTATGTATGCAGGCTCGTTAATCTAAGAAAGTACACAATTTTGCTCTGGTTTTGGTACGTGCAAAGTGAAAGAAATACATGGCTGGGCCTTTGCTTTGCTTCTCCAAACCCTCTCATTGAGATGGATTGCTAAATGAGAGCAATTTAAGATATCATTTGAAAATTAAGTAAGAGACAGACAAAGGACCACTAAGCACCACTTCTGCGTGGGCTCCTTTGCGTGGCAGCGAGTGACTCTTCTTCCTAAGAGTCCTCTGCAGTGGCCTCCCCCTGCCCCCTCGCCCTCCTGCCTCTTCTCCAAGGACTGGCAGCTCCACTTGGCTCCCAGCATCACTTTCATGATGATAGATGGGTTTGCTGGATCTCAGATCATCACTGTGTTTGCTGGGATGAAGTTTTGGGATATGTCTGTAAAATTGGCAGCAGGGCTTGAGTGTAAGCAGACTTGGAGGATGTTTGGACCCAGGGCTTTATTCTGGACCATTCTGTGCCCAGAGGCAGCCAAGTGGAAGCTGGGTATGAATTTTTCCCAGGCTCTGGGGTGGAATTTTCCTTATATCTGGGGTCATCACTAACTTCTGATCACTTGTGAAAACACACTTTGCTGATGAGAGAACACCTCTTTTGTAAGAGAGCTCAGCCTCAGGATAGTCAAGCACTTCTGTACTGGCTTTCTTCAGGTTATCTGAGGATTATTCCATAAAGTATGGATTCATCTCGTGAAGATGCATCCACACAAAACCTGTGAGAACTTCACCTCTGAGAACCTGTTTTTGTGGGTTAATTTATGCCAGGAGACTTAGGACAGCTCTCATTCAGTCTGACCCCTCTGTGGATTTGGTTTCCAGTAAAATTAATAAAAATAATTTTTAATTTATTTTTTTTTTTGTGACAAAATGATTGCTGGTCTGACACATCTTGAGCAGGTTCATCATTAACCATCCTGCTGTGTCTGTGCTTTCATGGCTTTTGCATCAGCTCGTGTGCAGTTGGTATGAAGGAGTCATGTGGCTGCTAAACTAAAGGGTTTTAATTTTATATCACCTTAGGTATAGTTTGCCATTTTTGTTCTG